AAAGAGGGGAAAATGACGATTTTAGAATTACATGCCTCTTAGCCTTACAAGCGTTCGCCTTACAAGCGGCCAACATGGCCGACCCGAGTTCGATTCCTCCGCCCCTCTCGGAGAGCCCGGCAAGCTACCAAGAGTATTGGATACGCCAGACACAGTAACAACAAAGTCTCCAATGGAGACGTTACTGGGCCCGCTCGAGCAAATCGACGATCAACGGGAGGGCCTTTTATGCCTCTTAGCCAGCATCATCTAGGACTTTTCTCCTACTAATGATAGGATAGAAGAGAAAAGGGTTTGATGAAAACTCAAAACATTCTCTTACACTGGAAGGAACTTGTGAACTCCATGAGTTTCAAAAGGCTTGTTTCTGTAGCTCATGAGTTGCCACACACGGGAATCAAATTTAACTTACACAAAACGATTGATTCTAGGCTACAGGATCTTTCTTTGATAGGTCCTAATTCCCTGATGTTTGTCCTCTATCTTCCTGCCTGACCAGCCAGCCAGGATTCATCCCTACTCTCTTCCTCCCTTCACAATCAGCTCTGTGGCTCAGTAATTCTTGAATTCACCACTTCCTTTCATCTTCATCCCACTTCCTCATGTCAGGGTTTCTAGCACTGCTCTGGCCTTTGGGATCATGTGCTGATCTATCTGCCTCAAGCAGCAGAGATTCTGATCACCCAGATGCTCAGGTAATCTTTCTAAACCACACGTCTCATGCGGCCTCATAATGTTCCCTGCAACCTCCCCTCTGAGAAGTTGTAAAAACCTTGGTTTCTCTGTCTTTCTGTAAGCCCGTGTCCTTGTTCACTGTGGTTGTGGTCGGTGCCGCCACACTGGGGGTTCACGTGACCCAGATCCCATAGGCTAATTATCCTTAGAGCCATGCGAAGAAGCTCTCCTTTCTAGCCCCACACGTGCCTTTTTCCTTGAAGTTATCAAAACTTCAAAGAATGCCTTGAGTAGTCCCCCTAATCCTGGACTGTGATTAGTCCTCAAGACAGGACTTTGCTTCTGGTTTTGTCTTTCAATCATTTTGTCTATTGGATTATCACTTATGAATTCAGTGTTTGTGGAATCTATAAATATGATGGACACTGCCTGGATGCAGTGAGACATTTTAATAAACAGTTATTGGGGTTAGGGATGTGACTCAAGTGGTAAAGTTTGTCACTGTCACTGTCCTCCCATTGTTCATCAATTTGCTTGAGAGGGCCCAGTAATGTCTCCATTGTGGCACTTGTTGTTACTGTGTTTAGCATATCAAATACGTCACGGGTAGCTTGCCAGGCTTTGCCGTGTGGGTGAAGTACTCTGGGTAGCTTGCCGGGCTCACTGAGAGGGGCAGAGGAATCGAACCCAGGTCGCCCAGGTTGGCCACGTGCAAGGTAAACGCCCTACCCACTGAGTGGTAAAGTTTAGTTTAGTTTTTTTTTTTGGGGGGGGGAGGTGGGCTACACCTGGAAGTGCTCAGGGTTTACTCCTGGTTCCGCACTCAGGAACCACCCCTGACAGGGCTCAGGAGACAAATAAGAGTGTCAGGAATTGAACCCATGTTGGTTGGATGCATGCAAGGCAAATATCCCACCTGCTGTACTATCTCTCCCGCACCATAGCACTGCGCTGTAGCACTGTCATCCCATTGTTCATTGATTTACTCGAGTGGACACCAGTAATGTGTCCATTGTGAGACTTGTTCTTACTGTTTTTGGCATACTGGATACGCCATGGGAGCTTGCCAGGCTCTGCCGTGCAGGTGGGATACTCTCGGTAGCTTGTTTTGTTCTCCAGAGGGATGGAGGAATTAAACCCGGGTCGGCCGTGTGCAAGGCAAACACCCTACCTGCTGTGCTATAGCTCCAGCCCCCTCCCACACCAGACAGCTTACAATTTATAAGTAAGAGGCCCTAGGTTCCATCCATAGCATGGAAACCTAGAATGGAAACCTAGCATGGAAGCAATGCTGAGGTGGCCCCATATCAATAAATAAATGGTTGTCATCAGTTTATAAAAAATTTCTTGAACAAAGGAACTCAGTATTGCTTACATTTCCCATAAATTGCATGGCCTGTAATGATCTAGTCTCATGGGCCACAAAGTACTCATGAGTACATCCGAATAAGGTATGTGGACACAGACTCTCAATAGGATGTGTGCAAAAATTCTAGGCCATTCTAAAAACAGTCACGATCAGAGGTTGCTAGTGAACTTACTCTTGACTCTGAAACTGTCTAAATGAAGAACTAGAAGAACTCCTGCCTTTTCTACACAATCCATAACAGTTTAAACAGTCGACAAGGAGAAATTTCTCTTTATAGAACTCTTCCAATTACTAAAGAGAATAAGAAAAAAATAAAATAGCCTGCTTTCAGAGCCAATAAATCTTTGATCCAAAGAAAAATCATCAAAACTACTTTTTTTTTTTTTTGCTTTTTGGGTCACACCCGGCGATGCTCAGGGGTTACTCCTGGCTCATGCACTCAGGAATTACTCCTTGCAGTGCTCGGGGGAACCATATGGGATGCTGGGAATCGAACCCGGGTCGGCCATGTTGGCTGCATGCAAGGTAAACACCCTACCCGCTGTGCTATCACTCCAGCCTCTCAAAACTATTTTTTAAAAGGGGGAAATGGTGAGACATTATCCTCCTTTAGAGAGAGAAAAAAAAACACTGCCAACAAAGTAGGTTTGGTGGTAGGGGTGAGGGGTATATCTGATGTATAGAGATTAAGCATCACATTAGGTCAAATAAAAAGAAAGAGGAATGGTCATTGATATCTTAGATAAAATTTAAATAACTCACTACAGTAGGACAGAGAGCCAGTTTTTCTTTAGAGTAAAATTAAAAAGAGGTGAATGTCATCTCAACCAATCATAACAAATTAATTAAGACATTATTCAAAAAAAGGGCATGAGAAAACAAATAGATGTGGTGGGATAACAAAGTACTAGGTAGATATTTTGTAAAATATCCTAATTTTCGAGAGAGCAGGACTTTGTAGTTGTGTTCATAAAATGAAATTTTATTTTTTAAGGAAAAACATTAAAAATATTTACAGCTAAAAATGATTTAACATCTAGGATTTGTTTCAAAACAATCTAAGGAAGCAAGTCACAGGTTGGAGAGATGGGAGTGCCTTGAGTTGAGGATTGTAGAAGCTGAGGGAAGGGACATGATATTTCAAACTAGGATTTTTATCTATGTTTGTACTGAACTCTTCCAGCAAAAAATTTTATCTTACGTTTTTAAGCACTGCTTAAGGGGTAGAGAAGCAGTTACTCTGACTGATTCTTGACCAATGAGGTTTGAGGATATTCAAACCTGGGTGCCAGGGATTACCTGGGATACTGGGCATTGCTTGTTGGGCTCCAGGCTGGCTGTGATGCTAAAAGGCTCCTGGGTTGCCTTCCATGGTTGGGGGACCATGTAGTTCTGGGCATGCACCTTAACCCTGTATTATCTCTCAAGCCCCGTAAGTATGTTTAAAACACCTTACTCATTCCCTCATGACCCTGGAATCAATTGAAAACTCCTGCATGAACTCTATTATGCTTTCTGTGATCTGGTCCCTATCTACTTCCCCAGCATGATTACCTCTCCCACTTTCACCTGTCCTTCAACTACCTCTAAGTAAGGATGGTTATCACAGGCTTGCCACTGTTCTAAGTTTCCCTTGCTTCATCTCTTGGCATTTAGAAACATTACTAATTCTTGCTACATCTCCTCATCGGGACTCCCTCTGTCTACTAGAGAGATACTCGGGTAAAGAAGCTCTGCCAAGCCCCACTTCTGCTTCACAACCCACATTCCCTCCTCTCCCTATGGCCTCCATCATTGGTTCCCTTGCCCCCTGTCTTCTAGTTAGACTTCTTTAGGGGATGCCATGAGCAGTTCTGCAGGGCAAGAGTAAAGTAACTTTGTGTCTCTTGCTCCCTTGGGAAAATTCTATCTACTTCTATCAGGTGATCCTTTCCAACTCCCCCCAAAAAAGCTATTTTTCTTAAGAAGTCTGTCTCCAAGGCCTTTGCACCCATAGCTTAGGAAAACAATTTCCAGTTTGCTATTTCTCCTAAATCCAGAGAACTATGTGTAAAGAGACTTTAGTTTCAGTTTCAGTCTATCATCTCTTTTCTGAAAAGACAAAAGTAACATAATTTTTTTAAAGTTTTTGCTTATTTATTTATTTGCTTTTTGGGTCATGCTTGGCGATGCACAGGGGTTTACTCCTGGCTCTGAACTCAAGAATTACCCCTGGCGGTTCTCAGGGGACCATATGGGGCTGGGAATCGAACCCGGGTCGGCCGCATACAAGGCAAATGCCCTACCCGCTGTGCTATTGCTCCAGCTCCCAAAGTAACATAATTTTAAGTGAAAATCATCCAACCAAATACGATCTATAATAGAACCTAAGATAGCTAGGGAAATACAAGTTCTAAAATGTTGAGATGAAAGTAATACTGTAATACTTTCAGGAAATATTTTAGACAAGCAGCAGAAGCAATGACTCTGTGGCACAAAAGAACCAAGATATGCTCAAATGAAAAAAAAATTCAGTCCTCCATTCTAAAGAATGGTTTAGATTTTGAACCCAAGAGCAGTGGTGAAGTGTCTCATACTCTCTTTATCACTTGCCTTTCTCCCTATCCACTCAAGTTCTCGGTGAGCCAAAAATATCAGAGGGTTTGGGTTTTGCATCAGTGCTGGGAAATCTATGGAATGGTGCTTTTCAAATTAGTTTGAGAACTTTGTATTAAATTATGGTAGAAAACTAATCAGGAAAATTCATGAATGATATTCAGTAGTGTTTGCAGTTCACACCAACATACACCGATTTTCTTAGTAAGATAAAACATCATTTGTTCTTGCATTCCCCAACACTACACTATATCAAGTTTATAAATGAACAAAACAGAAGAAAAATATATACCCAAAGTCCATGAGACTAAATCTGTAAGTCAGATACATTTTATTTCGGTAAACTAGTTGCATTTCTCACCAAAGAGGCCATGGTGAATCCAATGACTTCGATGTAACCATCGTCATGCCGCTGAGGTTCAAAATCATGGTGATCTCCTGGGTTCCCCCAGGGCATTGTGCCAGCACAATATCTGCAAGGTAAGATTAAAACGCAAATACTTACTCCACTTTTCTCATGATTATCTGGTATTAAGGTACAGTCTGGGTCAATGTTTACTTCCTTTAAGAACAGTGACTGCTCTTGGTGGGAATGTACATGAGTGAAGCCTCTACAGAAAATAGTATGGTGATCTCATCAAAAATTAAAAATGGAATTCCATAATATCTATCATAAAAGCACTCACTCAAAAGAATATTTCTCCCTTTATGTTCACAGCAGCACTGTTTCTAATAACAGTTTCTAATAAAGCATAGAACCAACCTAACTGCCTATAAACAGTTGACCAGAAAAAGAAGCTGTGGTAGGTATCCTCGGTGGAATGCAATTTTGCCATTAAAAGGGATGAAATTGTACCATCCAAGGCCAAGTGACAGAAGGTGAGATGGTCATTATCCTCCTGAGTGAAGCAGGTCAGGAAGTTAAAGACATTTACTGGAAAGTTTCACCCTTGTGGAATATGGATAACTAAAGCAAATGAACTGGAGTGAAAACCACAAGAAGACTAATTTCTAGAGTAGGTAAAATCTATGGTTATTACTGGAGGGAAATGGTGGGGAGTTGGAGTTATAAGGACAGGGGTGGTTTTCATGGTTGACAAAATTTTATAAGCTAATAGATTTTTTTTGACAAAGAGATACAAAGCTAAGATCTTGAAATTTCAACATTTTATAAGCTAATAGATTTTTTTTTAAGTTTTCTAATCTGGGTTAATTTTTTCCCACTTTTTTTTTTGAAAAATGAATTCTCAGAGCCTCAAAGTATTAACCTGTGAAAATGAGTCACATTTTTTATAACAAAAACATCCTATGGTATCAATTTTCACTGAGTACATTATCACCAATGACTCACATTCTATAACTGGTGTGTTGGCTTTCAATGATATTTCATGAGTTATCAATGGGTGGTCTCAGAATTTGGGGGGGAGGTATAAACATGAAGGAAAGGAAAAGGGAATTGAGGTGAGACAGTGATCAATAGTCTACTCAAAACTAGGATTTAAGGGCTGGATCGATAGCACAGCGGGTAGGGCATTTGCCTTACATGCGGCCGACCTCGGTTTGATTCCCAGCATCCCATAAGGTCCCTGAGCACTACCAGGAGTGATTCGTGAGTGCAAAGGCAGGAGTAACCCCTGAGCATCACCAGGTGTGACCCAAAAAAGAAAAAAAAACTAGACTTTAAGTACTCCTGGAAGATGAGGATGTAACTGAAGAAAAAAGAGTGGAAAAAGTGTGGAGCAGAAAACAATATGAGATTGATAGAAAGAGAACATTAAGGGCATAGAAAAGGTAGAAGAAGAGGAATCTCAGAAAGGGAAAGGCAGAGAAAAAAAGCAAGGAAAGAGAAGAGAGAAAAATAAAAGAAAACTACATTTCCTGAGAGTATAGGCCTTTCACTTAAGCAAACGAGATGAAAATACTTCTGGAGTAAGGTTGTAAGTGATTATACTGAGCACTGCTGGAAGTAATCAGTAGACTATATTTTCCTAGCTATATATCCGGGTATCATTCCCATTTGAATTAAATTTAGCCTAAATAGAACGTATTTGAAGGTTTTGTGTCTAAGTTGTCTGGCTTGCAAATAGCAAAGGGTTGTAGATCTGTCCTTCACAGAACTAGGCTTGGCAGCCAAGAATCTAATTTTATGCCATTGAGATCATGTGCTTATATTGAGACTAGTTAGTCTTAAATATCCCTTTCTCCTAGGTTATAATAGCACCAAAGAGAGTTGACATCCTGGCTAGAAAATGCTATTCTAATTGATCCTATTCTATTCTTTTCAAAGCAATCATCTGGCAAAGATTTTGAATGAATTCCATACTAAAATCAGGCTGGACGGTTTCCTAGCAGCTTTGGGGAAACAGGGATTTATTCAAGTCTGCACTTCTTGGGGTGGAGAAAGATTAGTAATTGAGAATTAAACGTAATTGTTCCAGTCAAGAGAGGTGCCAAGGTTTCTTGAGAATGGGTAAGTATAGACCATTCGTGCCATTATACACACACACACACACACACACACACACACACACACACACACACACACACACCTACCATGATTATGGTGGGAGTACAAAATTATCAGAGTAGAAACACAATTATCTAAGTTATAAATTCCAAAAAAGCCACTAAGATAACTGATTTCATTGTTTGCATCTGGAAATTTACTATGATGAAACCAGATAATCCAAGTCAAACAGAGATCATATTGAATTAAAAAAAATGAAGCTTACCTGGGTATATTTAAAAATACTATACACTGGAACTTCAATTCCTGAATCTTTGGAGTGAGATCTGTTCCATCACACTATAACAAACAAAGCAGAAAAAGCAATGAATTTGAAATAGCACCAACCTAAAAAAAAAGTTACTCTAGATAATTAGGCTGACAATGACAAGTTCACAACTGGTCTCTCTTTATGAATGACTGCTGTGATTCAAACTGATTGAATGTAGCTTCATCAGACATGCTTTGATTTAATAGAAACACAAAGCTGATATTTGACAAAAATTGCTTTTCTTGGGCCTCAAATTCAAAGGAATTAGCATCATTCTTAACCTTGAATATGCAAGCTAATGGTATCATCAAAAGACTTAAGAATAATTAAGTGAAAAAGAATGAGGACTGAGGTTGAAGAATTAGCAACCTGTGGCACAGTATTTTGATTCAAACAAAATTTATGAATGTAACTATGTATTTTATCAACTTTTTAAAAGATTATTTTTAATTCGAAGATTTGGAATATTTTAAGTGTGTGAAAGAAAAATACAGTACAAGATTTCAATTTAAGTTTGGGGGCTACATCCAGCAATGCATGAGGGCCACTCCTGAGAAGGTGCTCAGGGCTTGCTTCTGGTGGTGCTCCGGTGTGTGTGTGGGAGTTATTTGGTACCTCTATCCACCTGGACCTCCCACTTGCAAAGCATCAACTTAGTCCCTTAGGCTATCTCTCAGGCCCCAAACTGTAAGATTTTTGAAAGTATCTGTTATACATTAGTAGCATCTCCAGTAGCAATTTGCTCTTCCAAAGTTAATCTCTCACAGACTCTGCTATTCAGAGATAAAAAGCTTTACAGTGGGCAGATGTGATCCTGAGGCCTCCAGGGCCTCAGGCTGACTCAGATGCCACACTTCTGTGCTCATATTCTCTCATCCTCTTGGGGCTGTCCCCAAATGCATCCTCTGGCTAATCAAAGAAAAGGTGTGCATTTTCCTTCCTCATTTCCCATTGGTGACAGATGTTATAGAGTAAAATCCTAGTTATGGCTAACGATGGCCAATGTCACACTCTCATCACAGAATTCAACCCCCACCCCCACCCCCGAGTCCCCCCATTATCTTCTCCTTCCAAGAAAAGAGTAAAGCAGCTCCCAGCTCCCTGGAAATTTTTAATCATTTCTTTAGAAAGAGTTTCCATCTGAGTATGATTCTATGAGCAATCAAGATGGTCTTTCCTCTCCCCAGATTCTCTGAATACAGTGTAATCTTCACTAGCGTTTTCAAAACTGGTTTACAGGACATCTTAGAGTTCTATATAAATAAAGCTTCTTTCAAGTGTTATTTTAATAGAAACCGGATTCCATTTAATATTGATTGAAGGTGTTTTACAATATTCTCAGAAGCTAGGCAAACATGAAGTCTTCACATTTATTTAAGGACTTGCAATGAGTTGATAGATGATTACAGGAATAATGAAAAAATGCAAACATCTTAAATTATCAAAATTGAATGGTGTCAGCAGTAAAATTTTAAAAAAAACGAATATAATCCTCTTATAGCATTCAAAGGAGAGTCATTGCATTACTGGAGAAAATATAATTAACATTATTGCAATTAGAACAGAATTCATTTTAAAATTTTCTACTTGTTCCTCCTGGGAAACATATCAGTGATTCTGGGAACATATAAAATTATATAAAAATGGGAATTTCACAATACATTGTGCTTTTTACAATATTTTTCTAGAATACTACTGCATTTAAACTTTACAAGGCTTTGGAAGAGATATTTTCACCTTTTTCCCTCATTCAAACAACACAAAAGAAAATATTTCCATGTGAAATACTTCCAATGTACAAAGTCACATACTGGTAAGTTAAAACAGCAAAAAGAAAACATGAAAAGTACGGGAATGAATGCTATATGCGATGGGAAGTAGAATTCATTATTAATTTTAAAAACATTTTAAATTTATGTGAGAGATTAACTCTGACTTCAAAAAATACTGACTTCATTCTATAGCAGAGATAAGAAATTCTGCTATTATATACCTAATTGCTCCGGTTAACCTTTCATTCATTCCATCTCAAAATCAAGAATATAGCGATTCCTGTAGAAATACCCTGTTACTCTATATCACGGGGGGGGGGGGGGGATGATGAATAATTACTTCGAAGCTGTGTCCTATTTTGCCTGTTTTAAAGACAAAGAAAATGAGATCTTCTTAAAGGTCAGTTTCCTCATAAGACAGCACTGAATCAAAAATTTTCAGAGGTAACTTTGAACATCTCTTTTCTTTCCTCATAAAACATCATCTGATGTTTTTATAAAACATCAGATTACATCATCTGATTACATATATCAATTATTACATATATTGATTGGCACCAAATCTTTTCACGATATATGACTACCATGTCAATTTTTCTGTAAATTAATTTTAACCCCAGTTATAGAGCTACCCAAGCTGGAGAGATTTATCTAGGACTATGGGATATAGGAGAGAAATTCTTAGAAGTTGGGAATTACACACAGTTGAACATTGACCCAGTTGATGTTATTCAATATGGCCACTGCCCAGTACTCACTGGCTCTGAACATTGGAAAGAGAGGTTTGAATTGGTTTAATTTGGCTTAATTTGATTGGGTGGCAGGCAGTTGAGGAAACAATTTTTGGGTAAAGTTACTGCCACTTGAACCCATCCTTCAATCAAATTGAAGCTATTCACAGGATACTAGACTGTGCCTTTCATGTCTCTGTCTTCAAGAAGGCAGTATTTTTTTTTTTTGAAGAGTTCCTATTCCAATAGATGGCTGCTTTTCTTTGCTGCAGCATGAGAACGGAACTATCTGAAAGTGATACCAAGGGTCATTCTTTAATATTTGGTTTTTGGACCACACATAGCAATGCACAGAACACATTCCTGGCTCTGCACTCAGGGATCACTCCGAAGGGGCTCGGGAGACCCTGTGGGATGCTGGGGCTCGAAGCTGGGTAGGGCAATGGAAGTCAAATTCCTTAACAGCTGTATTATCTCTCCTGCCCTTCCACGGGCCATTCTGCTGGTCATTCGAGGTCTCTTGTTTTCTATTTCTATTATTTCAGGAGATTTGAATCTCATGTATGTTTTCCTGGAGGTGACTAATTTTTATTTGTATCTCCTCATTTTCTTCCATGTTTTGCTTTATATGCCCACATACTCTTCTCTATTTCCATGTACACCCTTTGTTCATCCCTTGTCACATATTCAGTTCTTTATGTCATAACAATTTCAAGCTCTGTTTCATGTCCATTTGTCCTCCATCTGCATCTCTCTCTCCATCTCTCTCCCTCTCTCAGGCTCTCTCTCTCTCTCTCTCTCTTTCTCTCTCTCTCTCTCTGTGTTTTTGGTTCACAACCAAAAGTCTTCAGGGGTGCATGAGGTGCTGAAGATTAAACCCAAAGAAAGAGCTGACCTAAAGAGGGCTAAATGCATGCTTTGCATGCAAGAGACCCAAGTTCAACCCCCAGTACTGCCTGGTCCCCTTGGCACCACAGAGTGACTTCTGAGTACCAAGCCAGGAATTATCCATAGCATCGCTAGGTGTGATCCCAAAACAAACAAACAAAAAAGAGAGAGAGAAAGATGAGAGAGAGAGAGAGAGAGAGTAGAGATTCTTTAGACAGCTGTGGAATAAAGATATTTGGTGCACACAAGTTTCTATCTTGTTGGTTCAGCATCACTTCTCTGATACAGGTTTCACTGAGTCTACCACGCTCAGCTGTGCCTTTTCCCTTTGTGCCATCACAATAGCATGTATAAAAGCAACGTTTATCTTACTGTCCTTGCAATGAATTGCCTGCCCTTCTCTGTCACTGAATCATAAGTATTCAGAAGTGAGACTTGCTTTCTTATTTTCATCTCCAACAGCTAAGACAGTCTCCAATCCATACCCAATTGCTCAAGAATATTGTCTGAATGAACTCTAGTCATGTGATACCCTATTACACTCCATTGCTTAACCTAGGTAAACTGAAATTTGTGGCTTTTTTTTCCAGCATGCATGCATAGATGGACTAAAATGAAACAACTCAAGACACCCAATACTTACAACAACTTTAACATGTTTGGATAGATCTCTAGAGCTTCTCTGTAGGAAATCTGAAAAAGCTGCCTGTATCACAAGGAAATAAAGGAAAATCTTCATTACAAAGTTATACCAAAATCCTTTTTTCTCTATTACTGTTTCAAATGACAAATGACTCCAAGACACATAAAAATATAGAACAAGTTCTTCATTTGCTGAATCCAAAATAAAGCAGTGCAATGACTATCAAGTCTGGCTCACTCTGTTTACAAACCATAACCTTAATAAGACTTTAAGGTTATTAACCTTAATAACCTTTAATAAGACTTACAATCATGGGAGAAGAATGGGAAAAAGTAATAATTCCTGAGGTTAAAGTGAAGATTCTTTTTACTAGTTTTCCTGATCTTTCTACTTGTCTGTTCGGTGCTGTTCAAATCTCTAATGCCACTGAGACTGTTGTTTCAACTCCCATTCATTTGATCCCCTTTCTCTAGTGCTATAAATTTAAAACACTTTATTGAAAAACCAATATATTGTAAGTATGTTTTTACTCTCTGGTAAACTCCTATTATGTCCTTGAAGAAGGGAGGAAAAGCCATAGCCTCCTTTAATCACATATATGCTTCCATGCAAACTCATCGTGCCCTTCAGTTTCTCATCCAAACACTGATGCTTAGAAATAAGATTCTTACCCAAACCTTTACATAGCAGCTTTCAGTCTATTTAATATCCCATGCTTTAGACTAGTTTTAATGTTTGTTTTTTGCATAACTCCTTAAATATCATTCTCTAAGTACAAGGAGTAGGGCATTAAAGTTCAATGTACAATATATATGTATAATATAACATATATACACATATATGATTATATGTTTTGCTTTGTTTGGGGGGCCACACCCTAAGATGCTCAGGACATACTGCTGACTCTGTGCTCAGAGATTTCTCCTGGTAGGGCTCAGGGGTTCTGGGGATCAAACCTGGGTTGGCCACATGCATAGCAAGTGACCTACCTGCTGTAACATCTCTCCAGCCCCTTAGGACTTTTAAATTCAATGATGATGGACACCAGTTCTCTCTCTTTTAAGAAATACATCCTTTTGGGGGCTGGAGAGCTAGTGCAGTGGGTACAGGGCTTGCCCTGCATGCAGCCAACTGGGATTCGATAAACCAGTATCCCACCTGGTCCCCTGAGCATCACCAAGAATAACTCCTGAGTGCAAAGTCAGGAGTTACCCCTGAGCATCACCGGAAGCAGCCTAAAAAGAAAAAGAAAAAAGGAAAAAAGTAAAGAAATAAACCCTTTAATTCCTAAATTAAGACAACAGCATTAACTATATACATATACACATAACCAACCAAACATCTGAGATATTTATATATATGTATATATATATTTAAATAGCTCACATTATACTATAGTGAATATGTATTACATAATATGTAATAATATCTTTAAACTGAAACAAATACTTACTCCTGCATAGAACATTTTATTTCTAAAACGACTGTTGAATTTCTCTGGATTGGCTTCTGTGAGAAGGAAAAGGTATTTTGGTTACAAGAACCTAATCAAAGACAGTGACTTAGTTAGTACAATCCAATAGAACCAATTGTCTCTTACCATTTTCCTTTAGTTCTAGGTCATTTGGGATAGTAATCTAGTGCAACAGAAGTAGATTCCCAAACTGGTAACACTGGTATCAACTGTGAACTTGTTAAAAGTGGGAACTAGTTAGGCTTCTGGGTTGGAGTGATAGCACAGCAGTAGGGAGTTTGCCTTGCACGAGTTTGGCACAACCGACTCAGGTTCAATTCCTCCACCCATCTCTGAGAGCCCGGCAAGCTACTGAGAGTATCTCGCCCGCACAGCAAAGCCTGGCAAGCTACCCATGATGTATTCGATATGCCAAACACAGTAACAACAAGTTTCACAATGGAGACGTTACTCAGCCCGCTCAAGCAAAATCGATGAACAACGAGAGGACAGTGACAGTTAGGCTTCTGGCCTACTGAGTTAGGATGTCTGGGACATACAGTCTAGGAATCTAGAAAACTCTCCAGGTAATTCTCATGCCTATACAGCTGACACACTCAGGACTCATTCAAAACAGAGGTTTAACAGGAACAGACGGGAGGCTCATAGAAGAATGAAGACATGCAAGAGCGACTATTTTGCTTTGATCTCCAGGGAATATACTTTTTATAAACTATGTGTGCAGCTTCCATATGGAATTAAATATGGGACATTTGAATTAAAATTAATGGAGCATTTGCTTTAATATTTTGCAAATACTCCTAACTACCATCTGTTCTCATTTATGACAGACTTTTTTTAAAACAGCATCTGTTTAATGGACACACACAGGCACATACAGGCACACACACACACACACACACACACACACACCTGCTGAATAGATTCAGGGCATTTTAGAGACCTAAGTACTCTGACAAGTGAAAAAAAAATGCCTTGAATATGAACCTGGGCTGGAGCTATAGCACAGCAATAGGGCGTTAGCCTTGCACACAGCCATCCCGGGTTCAATTCCTCCACCCCTCTTGGAGAGCCCGGCAAGCTACCAAGAGCATCTTGCCTGCACAGCAAAGTCTGGCAAGCTACCCGTGACGTATTGGATATGCCACACATAGTAACAACAAGTCTCACAATGGAGACATTACTGGGCCTGCTCAAGCAAATCGACGAACAATGGGAGGACACTGAACACTGAATACATCTGGGTGCTATTTATATTAAAGACCACAAAATGATTTAAGCAAAAATCTGTATCAGAAAATGTTTATTAGTAATTCAAGGAATTGAAAAATCCCCAATTAAACTCCATTTTCTTAAATTCTAATGAAATTTCAAACACTTTAAATAATTCCATTTTCAATATTTTTGCCTTCTTCCTATTTTATCTCTGAATTCACTAATCTCATCTTTGAATTGGGTCTTTCTCCTGGTCATTTCTCTTAGAAACTGCTGGTTGCCAAGATGAAACTCTCCAAGTCCTAACACTATTTTTGAGTGGCATCATATCCCAACAAGTGTTGCCTAAATGATAAAAACCTACTGAGTTCATACACCAAGACTGAGCAGAACAAAAATTATGAGACTTTGACATAATTTGGCAGAACTGATGATTAAATTATTACTTAATCATTAGAATATGGGCTAGAGCGATAGCACAGCGGGTAGGGCGTTCACCTTACAAGCGGCCAACATGGCCGACCCGAGTTCGATTCCTCCGCCCCTCTCGGAGAGGCCGGCAAGCTACCGAGAGTATTGGATATGCCAGACACAGTAACAACAAAGTCTTCAATGGAGACGTTACTGGGCCCGCTCGAGCAAATCGACGATCAACGGGAGGGCCTTTACCTTTACCTTTACCATTAGAATATAATGTTAGTAGAAAACATAAAAATGGATAAAGGTTTTCAAACTGAAAAAAATTGACATGTGCCATTCTCACTGGTATGAAATGGTATCTCACTGTCATCTCGATTTGGATTTCCCTGATAATAATTGATGATGAGCACCTTTTTATGTACCTACTGGCCATTCATCTTTCTCTTCCATCTTTTTCTTCATTTTATCTTCTCATTTTTGATGGTTTGGGGATTTTTATATTCTTTGTGAGTTATTTTGATCCATATGAGATATTTATGTATCTTGGATAATAAACCTTTTCCTGATGTTCTGAGAACAAATAATTTCTCCCAAACAACTGAAAATAATCTATGTTGGCGGAGAGGTGGTCAAAAAGAAACTCTCATCTACTGCTAGTGAGAATGTGGTCTGGTTCAAACCCTGTGGGAAATAGCATGGAAAGTTTTCAGAGAAGTAGAAATAGAATTGCCATATGATCCATCAATTCTACTTCTTGGTATCTAGCTCCAGGGCACAAAAATTCATCTAATATGTTATATGCACAATATTCTTCATTTCAGCTCTTAGCACCACAGCTCAGGTATGGACTCAGCCTAGATGTCCAGTGATAAATAAGTGGAAAATGAAGGTGTGGAATATATGCACAATGAAATGCTATAAAGCTTTAAGGAACAATGAAATCATGAAATTTGCTGCAACTTGGATGGAACTGGGGGGATATCATGTTAAGCAAAGTTAAGTCAAAAGAAGAAAAAAAATACTGGATGATTTCACTTTTTTTTGGTCTATAGACTATCAGGACAAGGGAACGCATGTTATCAATAGGTGTGATACCGGGTTAGGGAGATAATACAGTAAGGTGTTTGCCTTACATGCAACTGACCCAGGTTTGATCTCCAGTATCTCATACAGTCCTCCTCCAAGCTCCACCATAAGTTATCCATGAGCGTAGAGCCAGGAGTAAGCCCCAAGCACTCCCAAGAGTAGCCAAAATATGAGGATGGGGGGCAGGGGGAGTTATAGTAAAGAGACAGATAGGAAGTAACAGAGGCAGAAGCCAGGGCCTCAGACTCATTGGAGATGTGGAGTTGGGTATATCTATATATCAGAACCACAGAAACAAAGAAATCAAAGTGGATGATCCAAACTATAGAAAACATAAAACACATGTCTGTTGAGGTGATCTGTTTGGGTATTATAGAAGATAGGGTGCTTGTTTTGCACATAGTGAGTCCAGGTTCAAACCCCACAACCTATATGGATTCAAGTTCCACTAGGGGTGATCCCTGAGTACAGAGCAGAGCCAGGAGGAAGCCCTGAACACCACTGGGGAAATCCCCCAAACAAAACAAACAAACAAACAAACATGTCTGTCAAGGAGGCAAGGTGGTAGGGGATGGAAGGAAACTGGTGGAATTTATGGTAAAATAGACAGAGGGAAGTTGATACTGGTGATATGATTTGTGTTGGAACACTGTATGCCTAAAACTCTATTCCGAGTAACTTTGCAAATCGTGGTGACTTAATAAAAAAATTCTTTTTTAAATTAAAATTTAAAAATTCCTTTTTAATTAAAATTAAAAATTCTTTTTTTATTAAAATAAAAAATTCTTTTATTATTCAAATAAAAAAGAAAAATTAAAAAAAGAAAAAGAAAAAATATTTTTGTAAATAGGCTCTTGAAAGTATTCATTTATTTACAGTTTTTGTATTTTTAAAAACCTTTAGCCCTAGAAACAAAAATAAAATAAAAGGCTTACAGCTGGTTCAGCCCTGTTGGAAAACAGTATGGATGATTCTCAAAAAATTAGAAATTGAGCTCCTATTTGACCCAGCAATATCACTCCTGGGAATATATCCCATAGAGGCAAAAAAAGTATAGTCGAAGTGACATCTGCACATCTTTGTTCATTGCTGCACTGTTTACAATAGCCAGAATCTGGAAAAAACCTGAGTGCCCGAGAACAGATGACTGATTAAAGAAACTCTGGTACACAATGGAGTACTATGAGCTGTTAGAAAAGATGAAGTCATGAAATTTACATACAAGTGGTACTACATGGAAAGTATCATGTTAAGTGAAATGAGTCAGAAAGAGAGGGGCAGACATAGAAAGACTGCTTTCATCTGGGGAACATAAAGTAACAAAATAGGAGACTAACACCCAAGAAAAGCCGAGATAAGCCCCAGGAGTTTAACTCTATGGCTTGGAGGCCAGCCACACATGCTAGGGGAAAAGGCAGCTCAGATAGAGAAGGGAGCAACACGTAAAGGGTGTTGGGAGGATCCTCCCAGGATGGGAGATGCATGCTGAAAGTAGACTGATTGCCACTCAATGATTGCCACTCAATGCATCTTTTGCAAACCACAACACCCAAAAGGAAAGAGAGAACAAAAAGGAATGCCCTGCCATAGAGGCAGGATGGGATGGGGGGTTGGGGGATGGGAGGGATACTGGGAGCACTGGAGATGGAGAATGGGCACTGGTGGTGGGATGGGTACTCAATCATTGTATAACTGAAACCCAAGCACAAAAATTTGTAAGTCTACAACTGTACCTCATGGTGCTTCACTAATAAAAATTTAAAAAATAAAATAAAATAAAAGGCTTAAAATATTTATATAGAGCATGGTAAATAGAAAAAAGGTAAAACTGTCATTAATTTCTCTGCCTCCAGGATCTCTCATACTTGGACCCAGCGTTCACCATTTTTATAGGGGCCACCCCCAGAGGAGGAGAGCCCAGGAGCCACTCTGCCCAGCAGCCCAGCAGTAGAGGGAGGGGAGGGTGGTGGAGATGTGTGAACTGGGCCGAGGTCCAACTTGAGACCTGGTACATGCTGGACATACGCTTTACCACTTAAGCTATCTCCTGGGTCCAAAGCCGACAATTTCTATAGTCTGTACCTTCTTCAGGATAAAACTGAGTACCAAACAACACTTCAGTGGTTTTGATTTTTGTCTTTTGGGAAGGGGAACTTGGGGGTGTTCGGGAAACACCCAATGGTGCTCTGTGAACCATGCAGTGCTGGGGCTCAAACCAGGGTAAGTTGTACAAAATATAAGAGCCTTGACCCCTGCACTATCTCTCTGGCTCCATTTCCGACCCTTTGGATCCAGATTTAGTTGGGTTCCATTT